TCGTCAAACGTCAAACTCTTTTTTTATACTCTTTTAAACGACCCGTCGTCACAACTACTGTACAGTTCTCAGCACTCTTCACATTTGATTCGTTTCATCGCATATATTTGCCATTAAGTTTTTTTAAATTCTCCGTGTGGCTTCGTCTGCTATTTCAGCATTTTTAATACATCTTGGATATTGCAGAATGCTGATCCAGTCAACTTTCACTGCAGTCCTGAGATACCTGGGTTGCAGCGTTCCCAATTGGTATGCAAAGAGTGATTTTTTTCCCCTGAGAGTCTGGTACCAATTTCCCGGATCCAAACGGATGGGAGGCTTGGTAAGACCCGACACGAGATCGAATCGGGACCATGCTCACGATGAACGGCGTTATTACCACTGCTCTGTCAAACCTATCAAACATCGCAGGGCTTGAGTAAATAAACAATTGGCCTGCACAAGGACTCTCTAGGGGCAATCGATGTATCAAGTCAATATTTCAATCCTTGCATACAAATCTCGCACCAATTTGCTGACCATCGCGAGATAGAAAGCTTGGTGGGCACGGGACAGGGGATCGAACCAAAGAGTGATCTTGCATGTATTGCTGGATACCACAAATCGCTCCTTTGCGGGACCGCACACGGCTCCGAGGAAGGCGAAGTCGCCGAAGCGTCAGCCATCGTTCAATAACATCAAAAACAACGACAACGACAACGACAATGAAGATCTGTACCAACCTCGCGTCAGCTTAAGAAGATCAGTTTATAAGATCACATAAATAAATATATCAACTATCTATGCCGAGGTCGGTCTTTCGAGTTATTAACTCTCAGGTTACTCCGTAGAGTATTCCTTATTGCTAATTGTCAGCGTCACAAATGGCGTACAAATAGTTTTAAATATAATAAAAAGATTTTAGCGCTGTCAAGTAAAAGGCGGTCAAGGGGTTTTCTTCCTCGACACCACCTAGTAGTGCGAGGTACTGGTTGCGAGGACCAGCTATTGAAGATGAAATTTTTCTTCTATGACATTTCGAAGGAGTAAACATTAAAAAAGTAAGATTACTACTACTTCGACGACGTTTATACTGTTTATAGCAAGTTTTGATTATTAAACTTTTTTTATAAACGCCAAAAATCACCAACATTACTACCAGGCATTTTTACCTGATATTTTTGAGCAGAACCGGAATTAAATTTCACCATGAGGTTATGGACGTATTGAGCTAACTAACGTAAAAAAATATTGAAACAATATCTGGATAAACGTTGTGTTCTAGGGCACATTCAAATAATGGAACATGCCTGGTTAGTTGAGTCGCTTGAAAACAATCCTCTATATCAACATCAACTATTCGCGTACACGACCTCACTCCTTCAATATCTGTAACATATAAGCATTTGCGGCGAGGCGTTTATTTCAAACACACTTTAACATACGTCCATACCTTCGCATACTAGTGAACCACAGCTTTTCGGACACATTCTTCGTACGCGTTGCCAGTGGCGATCACACAGCCCATTCAACGACCACTCACAACAGCGGCTACTGTAGTCACGTGCTTGCTCTCAAACCGGTTACGTTTTAGGGAAATGGTCACTTATAAGTGATTTTGGACCACTTAATCAGATAAGAAGTTTTGAATAATTTTCTTCAACTGATATTCTGCTATAATTTTAAGCTTTAAAACACCCATCCTAGGAGTTAGTTCATTTGAGAACAAATCCCAATCCTATCGTTTTTCCTTTTCGGGCGTTAGACGAAGACAAATATCAGGAGCAGAATACATTTTCCGACAGTGTTTTGTGCTTTTGTGCTCATGAATGTTTTTTCTAAATGTTTTTGAGTATCTTGTGAACGGAAAATTTTTACCGCATGGTATTTCTTACACAAACGTGAATAAAAGAATGAGGATAAAGCGATCTGTGTCGATGAATCTAGCATTTATGTGAGGCATTCAACTCTATTCGTAGCTAAGATCATGCTGAGATATTTGCAAAACTCCGGACCGCTGATGTCTGCGGTGGGGAACGAGCCCGCTATTACTCTTTCCGGGAGCTAATGCGTTCACCACCGCACCAAGCGGGTCCTTCGCTTCGTTTGTCTCTATTCGTACCATTGTAGAGGTGAGTGACTAAGTGCACACACGACCTATTTAGTGACTCGAGGAAACCTACCGGTATAAATTCAGTGTTCATTATTTTCCCAGATAAGACTATCACTATTTTCATTTCTACAAATAATTTGCAGACTTGATCGGCCCTAAGCGCAGGATAGAATCAAAAACTATGTCTATGTTGCAAGGCCCAGTAAGCACTGTGTTGAATTCGCTTTGAGAGAACATGTGGTGAAAAAGTAAACATACTAACCTTGCTGAACTTCAGCAGTAACTTTTCTTTTTGAAATAGGATCGACGAAGTATTCCAGACGTTTCTCTGGAAACATTGGAATGTTCTTGTCGACCGTATGCATATTTATGGAAGGATGGAGTGGTGCAATCTTCCTCTCTATCTGGAAATAAAAATCTATGTACAATCAACACGTCAATTATAAATGCCTGATGTTAAGCGCATGGTTTTAAGAGAACCACATACGAATCGTCTTCCCTTCAACAACGTTCAAATCACTCTTACAAGGCGCGAAAATCAACTAGTAGTTATGAAGGACAAAGTTCACTTCGCTTTCTTTACGAAAATAATCCAGTCAATGTCTACACAATTCACATTAAGACGATGGAAGTGGTCTAGGGTAATGTATTATCCACACATCATATTTCGACCTCTTCTATAAAATTTCATGGCATTTTTTGTTGTTGCTTGTGTTGTTGTGAAAGTGAGTGCTAATGCACTTTTAAAAGCAACCACGTCAATTGACCAAGACAAATTACGAAACAGCCAATAGATTTCTTCATTTGTAAAAAGAGCGCTCATCTCTGCGATAACCTATGATACCCTGTGTGAAACGCGTTTACATAGGCAAGGTGCGCGAGGAGTTACGAGGACAACGTTAGTGGGCGATAGCGATTACTAATTTGGTTAACTTCTCCATAATGTGTTTACTTCAAAGCACAAACCAAATATGACGCCCAGAAATTAGTAGGTGGTACGTTAACGCTCTCCGTCGGCATACAACTTCTTCCTCACTTAACGAGGCCCGAAAAAAATAAGCGAATCCGCAGTTACCATGTGAAAGAGAGAGAATTTAAAGTTTTGTTCGCTGCAAGCGTAAATCAAAAGATTTGTCTAACAGCCGGCGGAAAACATGACCACAATGACGCTAAGATGCGTGAAAAATTTCCTGAACGAAGGAGGTTGCACAGGGGATCGAACACGCTATTACTCTTTCTGTGGGCTAACGCATTCACTAACACACCATTCTGGTCCTTCTATTCGACTTTCTCTCGGCTGTGTTTTAACCTTTAGACGTTACCAGCAATAACTCGTTAACGGGGTTGATCTGGAGAGCACAAAACGGCACTGAACCCTTTTAAGCTGAAACTGCAGTATAAATCACAATGCAGTTACTTTTTTTACCATTTATTTTCTTTCGTATCGGGGTATTATGCAAAATATTACCGCTGCGGTGCTGAGCTATTTGCAAAACGTCACAAAAAAAGATCGAGCAGCAAATAAAAAGTGACTACTTTGTGACTTATACTACAGCTTCAGCTTAACTGGATTCAGTGCCGATTTGTCTTTCGAGATCAATTCCGTTAGCGGGTGATTGCTGATAGTGCCTCTAGGTTAAAACACTGTTCAGAGAAAGGCGAAACTATTGAACCGCATAGTGTGGTGGTGAACGCGTTACTCCCCGGAAAGGACCATAGCGTGTTCGTTCCCCACCGCAGACACCTGCGACGCGGTGTTTTGCAAATATTTCAACATTATTGTGGCTATATTTCTCATCATGCACTACAATGAAACAAGAATAAGAAGTAAATAAAAAGTGACTGCACTGCAATGGAAAATATACGAAATCATTGTTGTTTGCGACACAGACAAGAAGAAGAAAGGGAAATTTTCTGCACTAGAACAATAACTAAGCGCCAACAATGTTCAGACTTCTCAATTTCAGAATGGCAGATCGCAAAGCGTTTCGTGCTTATGAATCTCTGATGGATGTATTATGAAATCATCACATACGACATCACAGAGATAACTGAATATGTATTTGACTTATATGAGGACTTGCAGTAACATACCGGTGTAATAAATCAAGCAAAAGACCGAATTTCTATAAATCTCGCCATAAATAATCATAATAATAACATTGAACCAGTGCTTTTAACCTCCCAGTCAACTCTGACACCAACCGATCTGCCCACCGCTGAGGGGTACCAAGCTTTCTGTGCAGTGAGTGCAAGATCGAACCAAAAAACCACGTTTATATTGCGGGACACTGCTAACCACTGCACTACACACGACGTTCTTCACTTTTATACACTTAGTTAGATAGGAAAGCGAAAAAGTCTTCTATTGCAGCAAAACTTAAATTTATGTGTATTGGAACCAAAAGAAGTGGTGCTGCACTTAGAACAATTGTGGATAATACATCGATTTTAACAAACACAAATCCGACACGACAACTTCATTTACTTTAAACTTCTTTTTCACTGGAACCAATGAACTGTGGTATCACAGTCAAAACTAAAAAAAAGTGCTTGCTAAGAAATCTAGGTTGAATTAGCCGAAAAATCTCACTGTCACAATGTTCTGTTTAATTACGTGGTGGAATGATGATTGAATGAATGATTCTGCTAAAAGGAGCATTTATTTCCATTGTTACCTAAAAACTCCTCAATTTGCCATTGTGGAGGTATACTAGGCGAGAAAGCCAATCACCCTTAAAGATTTCCATAAAAAGTCAGACTTTGTTGTTATTGTTGCTAATTTCTTGTTGAGCAATCAATCCGAACATATAGCCGCAGTACGACCATATTTTTAAGAAACTAGACTGTTAGATGACTTTTCGCGTTTTTAGCCGACAAACGACCTACACTCATTGTTTAGAACTGCTCAGCTAAAAAATACCTCAAAACGAGCCGCTCTGCTGGTGGTTGCTTCATCAAATCCACTGCTGGATGTAGTGTCCAAAACTCCAATTTGTTCACTATATGGAACCATTCCCATTTGAATATACGATTTCATAGAATGACTGTTCCGCGTTGTCGCTTCGAGGTCTTCAAGAACAAGGAGCTTATTACGGATCCCATTTGAGGTTTCACTGTTTGCGTTATTTGCACAGCCGCTATCGAATGGTCGATACCCCGGAGGATGAGGAACACTTCCAAGACTAAGCGGTTCCATTTCTTCATTTGTCGCAAGACGATCCAAAAAATCTATGACTTTAGGCGAAATCTTGCTATTATGTGGTGCTGGGGTCATGACACCGAGAACGTTTTGTTCAGAAAGAGAAGTAGTTATGGGGTAGTACGGCGAGAAAGCAGGCGGCGATGGCTCTGGAGCAGGTGGCTGTGGTGCGGATAAATGCGTAGAAGATGGCTGTGAAGAAAGTGGATGAGGAAGTTCATAGTTGATTAGAACTGGTGCGTTTTCAGCTGTATGGAGCAATCGTTCTCTATGAGGTGACTCTTTATCGTCGATAGCTAACCTAAACAACGAAATTTATTAGGAATTTTAAACCGTGAATAATATGACACTATGTTATATGTATTCTTTTAGTGGTAGGCTAATAGCGGTTTGATAAAAAATTTTATTCGGTCAAAGTTTTGGCTCCATTGCCTTCTTTAGAGCCGGATTCATATGAGTCAATTGCCTGCGAGTGTTCGCTTTTGCGATCAAGGGCGTCATGATCGCATCGAATTGAATCCACTGGAGCACCAACAGAACGAAATAATCTCACTCGGCAGTGCTCTCTTGTACCGACGTTTCTTTATATTGATTCTCAGTTGATAATCGATTGTTCTTCTCTAGCTCGAGCCAGCTGGCTTGTTGCGCTCTGCGCTAGCTGGTACCGACTGCTACAGGATGGACTGACCGAGGAAAACAAAAGTCTTTCAACGGCATGAACATCGATTCTGTGAAAACAGTATTGCCGAATGAGATTATTCCATTCGGACGTTGATGAAGTGAACTCGACTTGATGCGATCACAAAGACCCACATTAGAAGAAAGAACATCTGTGGGGAATCGATTTGGATCAATCCGGCACTGAAGAAGACGACGACACCTAGACGTTTGTCGAATAAAAGTTCTTTTTACCAAGTTCGCTTTACCTTATAAATAAATAAGAACCTGTCAAGAGCATACGGTGAATGACGCGATCTACAAAGAGCAGCTATAGGTACATTCAAATCTGAATGTGACTAAAGTAACGGATGAGAAACCTAAGGTTAGTTTAACTCATGAGGTTTAACTCATGGATTCTCGCCACAAATGAAATTTCCTTGTTCTTCTTTCCTTTGCAAGGATAACATCTCCGCGATGTGTCAGAAAGGAATAATTACCGGGTCAACGTTTATGAGTGCAAAAATTTGGATTGCTTAAAATAAACCAGAAATTTTTTTCTGTAATTGCATAAAATGTATGCAAGTCCTTAAATTTGGTAGAAAAGGAGACCATGCTTATTTTTTCGGCTTCTTAAAAATATGTAACGAGCTAGTGTGAGAATAAATGGGCAGACGTCTTCCTGTATTCAAAGCCTGGCCTAAGAACAGTCTAGCGCGACTAACTCAGGTTCATTGGGAAAATTGCTGAATTAGCTATAAACATTTCAATTGAGAGAGAAAATAACAGAGGTTCAGGTGGCAGCCAACTCATCCTATCCTGAATTCGACTAACTCGTCGGATTTAGGTTGCAAAACAACGAAGGGAATGGCGAATTTGCGCAAAACAGGAAGACATGTAAGGACTGGCAAGGATCTGAGTCAATAACGGATGCATAAGTCCAGATAATTCCTACTTTATGATAAGCACGAAGCACGAATCGCAAATCAGCAACGTAAAACTTTGAAGACTTCGCGAAAACGTTGACAGGACAAGATTCGATGAGAAGGCTCGAAATTTTTAAGAAAAAACATTTTTGTGAAGGACGAGAATTAAAGCAGAAGACAACAAATAAAAATCAAAAGATAGACAAGGATCGCACATGGAGCGTGCTAAAATACATTAATTTTTCTGTAATGGGGAACCAGGAATGTCAGCTGAACCATGCATGCAATAAATACAATTAATCCGTTTATTTCCAGATCAGATTTATCCGCTTAAAATCAAACTTGTTTTCACTCAACAATGTTCTTCAGATCTTCGCTAGAGTCGTGTGTTGAATCATATGCGACTCATAGAGTGCGAAAATACCCACTCCCTGTCCATTCTTTGAATAAAGGTATTTCATCTCCAAGTAAATCTGATCGATTAAGGTTGAATCGGATAGAATTTATTAGAAACCGCAAATCGTTCCTAACGGTTTTGCTTAAAAAAGGCGGAATTCTAACCGAAGCCCAAAAAACGTAATTTTTCAGTTTTTTTTCCACTGAGTCTCTTAATTCGAACGCGAAAGAAATTGAAGAAGAGAAGCATCTGTCCACCAAGATGTGATTTAAAAAATGGTAAAATTTCAAATTAATGTGTTATTGTTTGGAAATTTTAATAGCAGGCAAGCTCGAAGCTGAAGGAATAATCCAAATCTATGGAGGAGAGTAGTAGTTGGGTCTAAATCGATATGCGAAAAGATTCGGTGTGATATTAAGAGCAATTAAGGAAAAAGTTTGAAGATGGAAAAAAGATATACCACACCGCGCAAAAAGGTCAAATCAAAGGACCACAGCTGGTCAAGTTTTAAGCAAAAACCCTGAAATAGACTACGTACCAAGAACATCCAGAGTTACTGTGCTAGAAGAGATAACGCCTCCGGAAATGGCTCTTTCATTGTTAGAACTGGGTCCGAGCTTCGCGTCTAGTCAACCCATTTCTAAACCAGTCCTGCACAGGATCACGTGTAGTCTGCACGAACTTCAAGATTAGTTACGTTAGAAGGCTACGCTAGAAAGGTTGGGTAAAGTAGTGCCAAGGAGAGAACTACCACTAATACCTTTTCCCTGAACTTTAAGCAAAAGCTACCAAATAGCGGTATTGACCCTGAGTTTCGTTTATTTTCGGACGAAATTCTCCCCATACTTAATCACTGCCAAAAAGGAAATTAAGCTCCAACTTCACACAACAACAAAAATGTGGTATGCGCCAGGTTAGAGAGCTCTTGAATTCAAAATCTGTGAGCATCTCTATTAGTGATAAAGGTGGAAAATTTTTAGTTATTCCTAGTCAGTTGGATATTAGAATAACAGAGGAGCACCTCAGTGATGTTTCTCTCCATCGAACATCCTCTGAAAAGGAATACAGAAATCAATACCGAAAAATGATTCAAGAATTGGTCAACACGGTGAAGGCAGCGGGTTTAGAGCCTTCAGTTATTTTACGACATAAAAAGTAATACCCAATTCAACCTGTCCCTTACTTGCTTATTAAAACACATAAGTTTATTTTAACTGATGATATTGCGTCAACGAACCCATCATCGTTTAAAGTTAAACCTATCATCAGTTGTGTAGGCGGGCCAACAGATGACCAAGTTGCTATAGTTTATTCCAACCCATTTACCCAACACCAACAAAATACTTCTAGACCACCTACGGTGCGCGCAGCCAAACAACACGTATGTAATGGAGTTATTCGATGTTACTTCACTTTATATCAACGTCTCGAATGACTCCGCAATTCAAACCATTTTCGAGTTGCTTGTAGAGCACGAAAAGAAAATAAAAATATACGGCTTGTCGACTGCGCAACTAATGACCCTCTTAAAACAGTGTCTTAGTTATAATCACAAACTTAACCTTTTTATTTACTGCCTATTCCTTTCAACGGCAGGGTATTCAGCACTATAGAAGTTATCTTTCGCAACATACCTTGCCGTTAAAAGTTTGATACTTGATACTTGAACGGCCCGTCAACAATCCTCTAAGAAGATTAGTTTATAAGATCATATAAATAATTATAACAACTATCTATGCCGAGGTTTATAGAAGGTGGGTTTTTCGAGTAATTAAAGTATTGTTGTATAAAATACGTCCAGGCTGTGAGAAAGGCGAAATCGCCGAAACGTCAGCCACTGACCAAAAAGAACAACAACAACAACAACAACATCAGCAACGACAACGGCGACGAAGACCTATACCAACCTCGCATCAGCTAAAGAAGGTCATGCAAATAAATATGAAAGAATAGTTGATTGAAATTAGATATAAATCTAGTTTCCTAATGTAATTTCCTAAAGTTTTCAGGCCCTCAGCTATTTCAGGGAACGAAAACAGTGCAGTCGCGAACGTGGTAGAATTTCAAACCACTTCCTAAGAGAAAACAACTTTAACTCACTGGATACGATTCGATCTTGCATTCTCATAGTGTTCGGCAGCCTCGGGAGGTACTAAAGCAATTTAGAGTCAATTAAGCTTTTAGAAAGGGATGAATTGTATTCTTGCGCTAGTAGTACCGTTGTGATGCCTTAGCGGTGGCTTGCTAGCGAAACTTGCAGTGTCCTCAGCTGAGTAGCCGTTGTTTTCCACACCAGGAGCCTTCAACCATTCGTGGCTTGGAGACGATGTCATTGCGTCGATCGCTAGTGATATTTCGTCAGCCCTTTAAAAATCTCTCAAAGTAGTAGCCATCAAAGAAAGAACCAGGCACGAGACAGATTTTTGCCACAGCTTTATAATTTTACGATACCGAACGCTTTGGTTCCTACAAAATCGAAAATGCCAAACAAGGTCTCCACTAAATATGGTTCTACGCAACGAAGGAAATATCCTAGAATAGTATGGTAAGATCAAATTGGAAAAGGAAACGCAGCAAGCGTTCACAGTCTAAATTTTGCGGTGTATAAGACATTCAGTGAGTCTCACTTGTGATCAACGGGCGACAAAGCAATGCTAGGCAAGCCCATCAGATCTCTCTCGATCTTCTCAACCGCTTCAACCGCCAATCGGTCGGGTTTATGTGAAATTGTGTCCTCATTGCTTCCTCGAAAAACGTTATCAATGACGGTATTATCTGAGTGATGCTGATCAGATGACGAGACGGGCATTGGTCTATAGACGCTGACAATCGAAGACGACCAACCGAGATGCTTTCGGATTGCCGACTGGCACTCTTTCGAAACTAAATCATTTGTTTAGAAAGTATATAACGTGAAGAAAATCTCAGCTTAATGGCTATTATTATTTCAACTGGGGTCTATGATCAATAAAAACAAAAACAGAGATGCATTTATAATGTTAAGAAGACTGCTGACGAGCTTACAAAATTTGCATTTTTGAATACTCGTTTCCATGTGTATCATGCACATATATAATGTCGGATCACAATCCACAAAACAATCATTAGCTGCCGGTACCCACTCCGGATCAGCAAATGGATCGCCACCTGAAACACACTCCTAAAATAGTGAGCATTTGAAAAAAAATCAAAAGCACTGATAAAGCTGTCAACTTACTAACTGATCTTTTAAATAGGCAATAAGCTACTATTAGATTTGCGTTGTTAACTGACTTACACAAGGCTTCATTTGCGAAGACAAATCTATAGACGAGAGTGATGAGGTACTTGTCGTCTTCACATTTCACACAGCAGAATAATGCAGAAAACAATAGAACTAGAGTAATACGAAGAAAAATCATGATCTCATTAGATCTGAAATATCAGAAGATTTAACAGAAACTAGGTTCTAACGATTGTTTGCAGAAATTTCGCAGCCAGGAAATTTCGAGCACTATTTCGAATATCTCCGAAAATTATTGAATAGCACGTTTTTGTTCAAGATTTCATTTCGTAAAAACTAGTTTAGTTCTACTTATAGTTATAACTCTGAGATTGACAATAAAATATAGCAGCAATCAGAGGTGCGTGGAGCACAGTCGCTAAACCTGCGCTGCGATACATAGGTGGTCGCCGGTTCGATCCAACGTCCCGTGCTAACTAAGTTTCTAGGTTTCCAGAGTTAACAAATTGGTAACGGACTTGTCTGAGAGCTTAGAAGACGTTAACATGATATACTGATAAGACTTTCAAGCTATCGTATAAGATTAATACGAATTCAGTCAGCTCAACGATGCTGAATGGAATCGAAGGCATGGCACATTCCAATGCATTGCTCAACGCCGAGTGCTTCGCCTCCTACTCTTTACCATACAAGAAGAAATAAGGAAAATAAAAAAGATGATCACAACTGTTTCTTTTTTCCCGCCCTTTTTTCAGCACAGTCACGGACTTATGGCTTCAACGTCCCTCGTAGACGCAATACCGAGCTCTTTTCCAAATAATGGAAATTTTGAATTCTTGTAATCTATATTTACGGTTGCTCGAACACTTTCTTCACAATGCAGCTAATAATCGCTCACAAAGCGATAACAATGAAATGCGTTATTAACTAAGCTTAACAATACCCCGGCAAATACTTGATATTTCCCTATGGATTTCTGAAAGAACCTCTGGTTCAGGTTAAGTATAGAAATACCTGGGAGAGTTGGCGAAACTACTTGTTTTGTCATGGTTGTCACCAAATCATCGAGGAAGCTGCACGTTCCACAATTATTCACTACGACAAGCACTATATAATAGTTTAATTGCGCATAATTTGCACCGTTTTTATCCAGAAATTGGAACTTGCATTGCTCACAACTCACTAGGTATTTCACTAATACATAAAAAAATAATATGCTGCTTTACGAAGTGGAAAACAAAGGTTCGCTAAATCAACACGAACAAAACAGAAGGATAGGAAACTATAACTATTCATTGTCAAGCACACATCCATCGGTGTGTTAAAGAATAAACCATAATTGGCACAGTACTGAAATCATCTACTACTACGCACGACCACGTTAAAGTGTCGACTGAGAAATCCGACGGTAGTATGGCTGTGGATTTGAGCTCAGTAGAGAGATTTGGATGCCAAGCGTTTCGTTACCTTTCAACACCAACTGGCCAACTCCTGATTGACCGTTGGAATGCTTTGTTGGACCGGTGTGAGGATTAGACTAGCGGCGAGCGTTTTGGCGCAACTGGATATCCGTCACCGTACCGCCCTACACCATCCAAATTCCTAGATACATATAGATATATATTTATGTATTTGCGCATGTTTTATGTTATATATGGATGTATAAGTTGTCTTTCTACAGTATCTTTTTATATCACACATAAAAGCAAAAGTAGGTCAAGTAGGAGTTTCCATACCAAAATAAATTTAAATTGTGTACAATTTAATAAAGTGTCTAATCTGCTGTGTCTAAAGAGTTTTTATCTAAAAAAGAAACAAATAAAAGACAGTGCAATTTTCTGCCACTTCGTGAGAATTTGAAACATTTAGACGGGTTAAAAAAGGAAAGGAGAAAAGAAGGTGAAAACAGAGGCTCACAAAGAGTTTCGTTTCAAAGAAAACATGTTCATGGAGAAAATCTCTTCAGGGAAACCTCTTCAAAAGCCACAAATAATATTTGAAATTTCTAACCTATCAAAGACGTTCCAATGTATTCCTGAAAAACCCCGTGGTAGCCTTGTGACATAAGCTTTCTGACCGTTTTTAATAAATTTAGTAATTTGAGGAAATAGTCTTTCTTTTGAAAAATTTTCTAAATCTACTGAACGTGTTTTAAGGGTATAACAATGAGAAACCATGGTTTTCTTTTTGAATGGATGACTGAAGATAGGCTTTCAGCCACATCACAATTAACCAGTCGTTCTCTATTCTCTCCAGTTGTTGAGCTGGTCACGGCTTACCAAGGGGGTAAAATGTTTAGTCAAACTACTAGAACGATCTAAACCTTCAAAGCAATAGGCGGTACGGATTGCTGAAAAAAGTGTTCTACGTCCAATTAATGTTTACTCGCGCGCCTATTGCCAACATAACGATTTTATTCCATAAACCTTCCACCGTAGACTAGCATCAGATCCACTGTAGCGTTTCGCGAAATGCCTTTTCGATGCGTGAAATTCTATAGAAAAAACACTATCCGGATACGAAGAGCTATTTAATATGGTATGAAACAATTTTTGAAGAGATAGCCACTAACAAATCCTGTGATCGTCACTGCCAACGCTCCAGACAAACTCAGGGTGATCTCAAAAGTGGAATCCCATTTTATGCTCATTAATAAGGAAAATCAGTCAGCTGTAGGAGGCAATTTTCGATTTTGTTTCTAAAAAACGAGCCTTATTTAGCCTTTTCGTGAGGTGTTATTGTTCTTTGTTCACGATTAAGCTGACGTTTCGGCGAATTTCGCCTTCTTCAGAGCCTGGAAAGGTCAAGTTGATAGCAACTCACTCGGCCAGACGCCTCCATAACCAAACAAAGAAACCCCAAACCAAGATTTCAATCACTTTGAACACAGCTTTGCACACTCACCGCTTTCTATGAGGCTTCCACTGAGTATGTCGCATGAAGACCAACCGCACAAAATTCACATGGAAGCGTAATGTGCCCCTCCCATCAGAATAACAGGCTTACATACTCTCCAATATCACACGTGATAATGAGGCATTCTTTCCTGAGATTCATTCTCGGATTTCTGGAATTAATCCAGAACGCCTCGAGAGTTTTGTGCGTTTGTGTTCTCGATTCTTGTGCGAATATCGTGACACGTACTTCAAAGCTTTCCGCGTTATGTCTCTGGGTCCTATGCGTGCCTAGCGAGGTATTTGGTTTAAGTTTGCCGGCTAGGTGTTCTTTTATGCTAACACAGAGGGGTCTGCCCGTTTCGCCAATGTATTCGTCTCCGCACGCCTTACAGGAGATCAGATAAACTATACTCGAGCTCATGCAATCACCGTCTTTACCACTGGGGCAAATTATGCAATTTTGCGTTGCACATAGACGGTCATATAGGCGGTTACGAACTAGCTGGCGCTTAAGATTACTCGGTGGTATTTCAACTACGCTCACCGAATTCTCTAAGCCCGCCCTTCTTAAGCAGCGTTTTATAGCTGTGCTTATATCATTTGAGATGAAGGGTAGGATAAACGGGACCCTTCTATCGCTAGAGTTGTCGTTTGGAGGCCTACGATTTCCTCTACACCTATCCTGAGCTACAGTTTCGTAGCCACTAGAAACACTTTACACTTTGCTTTACACTTTGCACCTCGCGTTTGCTCAAAAAAAAATACGAACAAAATCACTTGTTCAATGCCGAGGTTAATAGAAAGTCGGTCGTGGCAGTTACTTTTCGTGAGGATTTGTTCTGTTCGTTATCTCACTGCTTTTCGGTTTTTCTGAGATTTAGCTGCGCTTTAACAAGCGCAGTTCTTTTCTCTCCAATGGAAAATGCTGAGTTGTCATTGTGTCGCAGGCAAAAACCACCTTGTTTGACTCATCGGCATTCCAAAAAAAGTTGCACCAAAATTCACAGTATTAGACAAGAATAAAAATTTGGTGGAAGTTTCTTTCCATAATAATTTCCTTTCCTCTCTTGTATGGTACGCTTCAATAATCTTTTACTTTCCTCTCTTATATGGTTTCTTAGCGACGATTCTATTTGTAATCTTATATAAATCTATTGACCCATCTGTTTAGCACCCCAACTATCATTTATTGAAATAAGAAACAGAAAAGGAACATCGAAATGCTCACAACGGCAGATCGACAGCGACGCAATGTGAAATGAATAATTTTTTCTAAACAACATATTACAATATACCTATCCTCTGGTTTTTTTTTACAAAACTGTAGATATCGGTAGTGTAATATTAGAACAAAGTGAAAAAATCTTATGAACATTATGACTGGGAGATTTTCAAATGAAGGTTATTGGAATCATAGGGTTTTAGCAGCTCCAAGGAACCCGCGCACATTAAAATCGACCACTTGGCAACGATGTTCATTTTGAAGCCTAGGCGGTGAATACAAATACAGAATGAGCTAAATACGACCGTGCCTGAGGACGTGAGCAACGAGAAGCTGAAGGCTGGCGATTGTCGATTGAAGTGGTTCGACTTCACACTCAAACTTGCACGTTACTTGAGCATTGCAAGACAAACATCACCACAGCATCACCGAGTTTACACAACAGTGACCGAAGGCATTGTTATAATGTTTGTTTGACAATACAACGAAAATTCAATCGACATTCACTAGAAGGAAAGAAATGGACGAAAAGACAACCATAAACTGACGCTCTACCGCTTTAGTACTGCCGATAGCACAGCAATTTTCGATCTACTACTTGACTCAGTATTTCCCTACGTAAAACTTTGAGCAGTAGTTGAAGCATCTCAATGATGCTACATGTTCAATTTCAGGAAATCGTAGCGATGAACATATTATAAGCAGAGAAGTGAAAGACTGAAAACGAAGTGAATACATTAGACTAGAAAGGCTACGGTATAATATCCAAAGTTAAGGCTTCGTAAACATTCAAAACTAACAAAAGACAAGATGGTGGCAACAAAATACAATTGACAAGCACAAACAAAATTCAAACGAAGATGTTCTTTGCAAATATGTAACGTACTTTAACTTGCCAGGTCATGCCAGGTCAGTGTTGTCAGCGGTAGAGTACGGTCAACGGAAAAACGGGTAGGCTATGAAGTTTGTGTTTTATGGTTGCAAGTGGGTAGGTGGTTAGCGAGATAGATGCGACGAAAAACGGCGTGATTTCATAATGGACGCAACCAGAAAGAAGAA